ACCTTTCATGGTGTCGCTGCGAGGGGATTGTATAAAAAATATGATGCATATTACTTTGAGGTAAAACCATATAAGCTCAAGAGCTTCAGAGTGAGGATTGTGTTTCTATCCAGAAATCGAGTGAATATTTCTACACAGAGTGTGTTTACCACAAGAAAAATTAAATGGTTCGTTTTTAGATAAAGTCACCCAAAACTAATTTGTGAAATATTCCAAAAAATGGAGAAGTTCATGTAATTCTGGAGTATTCTACTGTATTTTGGAAGTGTTCAATATATTTTTGAATGTGCTCCAATGTAATTTGGATATGCTTCAATGTTATCCCAATCATTTTGTTCATATTACGGAAATCGAGAGAGGAGATTGTGGCTAAAAAATGTGATTGTATATCATATCTTAGTTGGATGTGTTCGTGATATATTTGTTTAAAAAAATGATGGGGTGTGTTCGAATGATGTTTTTGGAGTATTACATGGTAATTGTTTGTGTTTTTGGTAGTGTTAAAGTAACGTGGGTTGTCTGTTGTGTGTTAGGTGGGATCGGTCATTAGAATTTTGTGAATAAATGGTTAACCGTGATTTTAGTGGATTTGGGATGGGTGATGATGAGATGCATTTGTGGATGTGAAATGTGATTTTGCCCCCCCTCTGTTTGTTTGAAGAGGGTGTGTTGGGAGACGGTGTGGATGTGAAGAAAATGTGGGTGAGATGGAGAGGGGTTATGGGGAGGGTGTTTTAGAAATTTAATGAAATATGGGGGGGTTTTACTGAAATAAAGGTATTAAGGTAATGTGTGAATATTATAAAAGAAATTATAGAAGTGAAAAGTTATGATGCATTGGGAAAAGATGGAGGGTGTAGAAACATGCGCAGTAGTTGGGTAGTGAGATCATGATTAGTTGTGTGAGTATATTATCAATTTATGTGGATACAAAAGGAGATGGGTATGGAAGAGGATTTTTTTAGAATTTTAGTAATGTAGGGAGGATGTGTATTAATATAAAGTTTCTATAAAAAAGAAGGGGAAAAATTTGTATCGAAAGATGAGGAAAAAATTGTGAATAAATTGGTAAGTGATGAGGGTTGTGGGTTATTGTTGTCGAACTAGACATACCAAAATGATGTTATAAAGTGGGGTTGTTGTTATGGGCTGTTGTGGGTTGTTGGGTGTTGTTGTCGAACTAGAGATACCAAAAAGATCGTATAATAGTTGTGGGTGTTGTGGGGTGTGGTGATGTGGGGGGTTGTGGATGTGGGTGATGTGGGTTGTGGGTGTTGTTGTCGACTAGAGATACCGAAAAAGAAGGTGATTCTGTTGTAGTGTTCGTGTTGTGTGGTGTTTGGTTTTTTTGTGTTCATGTTGTTTTTTGCGCTCATGTTATA